GACCCCAAAAGTGGCCGAAAGTCTGGACTTGTTTGCCCGCCCCCAAGGTGGGCCCAAGAAGTGGCCGAAAGGCCTGGACTTATCCAAGATGGACCCAAGAAGTGGCCGAAAGGCCTGTGCCCATTCCATTTGCTTATGGCACCGCCCAACCACACCCCTGCAAGACGCACCTTTACAGCCCAAATTAAGAGGCCTGCTTCTATTTTTACCCCCATAGTAGGACTGTAAGGTCCCAGGTCTGCTTGCTCTGCGAAAAGGTTCTATGGCCCGGGCAAGCCTGTTTCTGTTTTTCCCCATAGCAGGGCTGTAAGGTCCCACATCTGCTTGCTATGCGAAAAGGTTCTATGACCCGAATCTGGGTTTCAAGTTATCCCCTATACTAGGGCAGGCTTGCTTTATAAACCCTAGCGTGTCATTAATGGGCTCTAGGCCTTTCGGCCACTTCTTGGGTCCATCTTGGGGGGCGGGGCAAACAAGTCCAGGCCTTTCGGCCACTTCTTGGGCCTTCTTTGGGGGGAGGGCAAACAAGTCCAGGCCTTTCGGCCACTTCGGGGGGCGGGGCAAACAAGTCCAGGCCTTTCGGCCGCTTCTTGGGCCCTTCTTGGGGGGTGGGGCAAACAAGTCCAGGCCTTCCGACTTCTTGGGCTCATCTTGGGGGGTGGGGCAAACAAGTCCACAGGCCTTTCGGCCAATTTGGGGGGCGGGGCAAACAGTCCAAGCCTTTCGGCCACTTCTTGGGCCCTTCTTGGGGGGTGGTGCAAACATGTCCAGTCCTTTCGGCCACTTCTTGGGCCCATCTTGGGGGGGGGCAAACAAGTCCAGGTGTTTCGGCCACTTCTTGGGCCTATCTTGGGGGGGCGGGGCAAACAGGACTTGTTTGCCCCACCCCCCAAGATGGGCCCAAGAAGTGGCCGAAAGGCCTGAGAGCCCATTAATGTGCAAAACACACGCAAAATCAATGGCAAGGAGCGACAAAGGAGGGGCGGTTGGGCGGTGCCATAAGCAAATGGAATGGGCAAGGAGCGACAAAGGAACCTGTTGGCTGTAGTTTCGAAGCCAAAAACCCTGCATGTCGCATGAACCCGACCCGCCCAAGGAACCTTAAGGACAGCTCCCTGCCCCAGACTGCATAGTAGGAAGGGCGTTCCTTGGAAAGCGCGGTGGGAGAATAGTATCGTATTACCCCAAAACGAATTCCAAGGAACCCTTGCGGAAGCCCTTTGAATCCCCCACTCATCGTCCTGGGGCACTTACTAGTGGTCTCCCGTCCTTCCGAGACACAAAAAGCTTTTGGAAACCACGCCTTAACTTGAAACCCAGATTCGGGCCATAGAACCTTTTCGCAGAGCAAGCAGACCTGGGACCTTACAGCCCTACTGTGGGGAAAAGCAAAAACAGGCCTGCTCTAAACAACCCTACTATGGGGAAAAGCAAAAACAGGCCTGCCCTAGTATAGGGGATAACTTGAAACCCAGATTCGGGTCATAGAACCTTTTCGCATAGCAAGCAGATGTGGGACCTTACAGCCCTGCTATGGGGAAAAACAGAAACAGGCCTGCCCGGGCCATAGAACCTTTTCGCAGAGCAAGCAGACCTGGGACCTTACAGTCCTACCATGGGGGTAAAAATACAAGCAGGCCTGTTAATTTGGGCTGTAAAGGTGCGTCTTGCAGGGGTGTGGTTGGGCGGTCATAAGCAAATGGAATGGGCACAGGCCTTTCGGCCACTTCTTGGGTCCATCTTGGGCAAGTTGGGCCCACCTTGGGGGGCGGGGCACTTTTTGGGTTATATTGGGGGGCAGGGCAAACAAGTCCCTAAACCCATCCCAAACCCACTCGAAACCCTGGCAGGCGTGGCTACTATCAGCAGGTCATAGGGTTTTCAAGATGGGCCCGCGGGGTTCTAAAAATTGCAGCACTCCGAAAAGGGAAAAACATCGCAATTTACTTATACCTCCGTGCTGTCTTATAAATGAGAGAGCGGCGCGGCGGAACGTGGGCCAAAAACCCTAAAACCCAAAAGGAGTGGCTGTAGAACCCCAGAGGGAGAGAGAGCGCCCAAACCTGGCAGGCGTGGCAAACACACTTCTGGAGCTAGTTTTGGCGCGAGCTATTTGGTCAAAGCTCCAGATGAGGGAATACGCACAAAAACCCTACTTGGGTGGAAACCCTGGGTTTTGCATCGGGTCGTATGAGTTGTGGGTGTTGGGTGCAGGCCTTTGAGCCGGTGCGCTTCTGGGAAGAAGCCAATGCAGATGCTTCAATTTAGTGGCAGTTCAATGTGAGGAAGCACATATTCGAGCCGCAACTGGCAGTTCAATGGGCCAATGAAGGATGCACTCCGACATACTCCGACCGATTGTTGTTAGGTGTTCTCCTGTACATCCAATGAGTTTCAGTACGTTTGTCATCACCTGCAAGTAAAATGAAGAACACTCTTGACCAGGGACAGTTTTAGGGGCATCCACGCGAGATCATGCGAGTTTGGAGCAGGAGCAGATCGCCCAGCGCGTCTCCGGAGAGAGTTGACGCAAGGCTGGTTTCGTGCACAGCAGTGTTGCATCAGGCAAAGCGGGCGCAAAGATCCAGACAAATGCAAAGACAATTGCATTGTCAAACGATTGGCCCATCACTCCTACATGGGCTGTCACAGCCACTGACTTAGCCCCACACCATTCAGGTTCCTGATAAGGTTGAAAATCTTACGCCAGAATATAGGCTTTGCTTCATGTGCGGGTCCAGTGCACAAAGTGCCAAGGTCCCAAAAACTCGTCGTCAGTACAGTTTGACAGTAGAGACTATGTTCGTCTAGTGACTGGAAGCCTCCAGCTTCGATAGTCGGAGTGGCAGCTTCTCCTGTCATGATGACCACGATGCTGCTGAGACACAACGGAGATTGGATGCTTCTGAATAGGTCTTCAGCCCGGAGGTATGCATGCACACAATGTGCTCTTTGCGCTTACCAACCCGTCATCATTTTCCACTGACTCATCCAAAGGATGAGTGTTCCCAAGACGGCCCTGGATTCTGGACAAATTAACTGGCAACTCGCTGACTACGCAGCCCTACATGCAACAGCTGATCAAAGACTCAAAGATGGGTCTCGTTAGTTACAACCAGAATCCCTTCGCACAAGCGTTTCTCGTCGCTGAGCGGAGGCTCTTTTGCTTTTCGGGCTGTACCCACCTGGGGCCCCAGCTCCAAGCATGGCACCAAAGGCTGCTTCGCAAAGCCAGCTCTGGCAGTGGATGCAGTGGTAGAAATGCTCGTACTTGGCAGCTGAAGATTGGGTCTAGCAAGGCGGCATACCCTCCCTTGGGATAGTTCAAGGTCAACAGGCTGGCTGGCTTTGCCCAGTACTCTCAGATGGCAAAGCCATGAAGATGAGTGTGATGTGGTGCCACAGAGAGCCATAGTTGTACAGCAACGGCAGGTTGAAGTCTGTTGTTCCGTCCAATGCTTCTAGCAACGTCACTGTTTGCTAACATTGAGGGCGACCTTGATAACGAGGCCTGTAGTTGAATCAGCAGATGAGATGCTGCATGTCAATCTATGAAAAGCGGCATCCAAGATGCCAGTAAACCGAGCGAGCGCGGCACAGTCATACCATTGTAAAAGATTGGATGCTTGATTTGGGTTCAGGTGGTGCAGTTGATAGACAAGTTGACGTAGGAAGAGCCAATCTGTTTCTGCGTCATCCAGTGTCATGTGGCTGGCATTGTGGTGCATGCAGAGCCTCCCCTCCCTCTTCCCCTCCCTTCCCTTCCCTTCCCTCCCCTCCCTCTCCCCTTCTGAGGGATCCCGAAGCGCGCGTGGCGCAGGATGCGAGAGGCCCGAAGCGCGCTTGGCCTCCAACAGAGCACTTTAGCGCAGGACCGAGGCGTCCCGAAGCGCGCGGCCTCCAACGGAGCACTCTGGCGCAGGACCCGACAAGTCCCGAAGCGCGCGCGGCCTCCCACAGCGCGCTCTGGTGCAGGATTCCCCGACGCGGCCTCCCACACAGCGCTCTGGCGCAGGACCCGAGGGGTCCCGAAGCGCGCGCGGCCTCCCACAGAGCCCTCTGAGTGCGTGAGTGAGTGAGGTGAAGGTGAAGGTGAAGGTGAAGGTGAAGGTGAAGGTGAAGGTGAGCGTGAGAGTGAGAGTGAGAGTGAGAGTGAGAGTGAGAGTGAGAGTGAGAGTGAGAGTGAGAGTGAGAGTGAGAGTGAGAGTGAGAGTGAGAGTGAGAGTGAGAGTGAGAGTGTGAGTGAGTGAGGCGGAGTGAGTGAGGCGGAGCGAGGAGGGAGGAGGAGGAGGAGGAGGAGGAGGAGGAGGGAGCAGGAGGAGGAGGAGGAGGAGGAGGAGGAGGAGGAGAGGAGGCCGGGACAGCCCCAAAAGTAAGAGCCCCACACAGTGATGTGGGGAATAACCAAATGGGAGAAAGTTGCTTGTGCCCGAAAGGGACAAAGACCTTTCGCTAGGGACCCCCGAGACACATGTCAAACCGGATTGGGGTAAACATGTTTTCTGCCAGGAAGGAATTGAGCATTGAGTTAAATAAATAACCATACATGGGATAAAGTTGCTTGTGCCCGAAAGGGACAAAGACTCTCCCAAATCTGTTTGGCTCCAGAGATGTCGCACCGAAACAAGCCTTGTGTCGGGCCTCTCGGACCTGTGGAAGTTTGCTGCTTCCCCTCTTTGTGCTTACATTGCGGATTTAGCACCTTTTTCAAGTGAAACCCATAGCGGATGTTGTCGCTTGCTGCTAGTTTGAGAATTGCTTGCAATACACTATAAGTAGTCGTTCCTCGCTCAAATCTTGGCTTGGAGTGTAGGCATCAGACCTGCACCTCCTTGCCATACAGTGCCAGGCACCGACAGCATTGCAACTTTCACATGCCGTTACATGCCCAAGACATTCCAGAGTAGGACGTGGCAGTAGCGACCCACGTATCCACTTCACATAAAATGGCTGCCTGCTTTGACGTGATCTCGTCGCTCTTTGGAGGCGTGTTCCCCGAAATGTTGGCGGTGAGCGTTTTGCAATTGAATCTGGTGAGTTTCTTGCATGTGAGGCGCGAACAAAGTCCAACGGGAGGCACAGATTTATACACAGGTGGCTTCTTGCGGTTTGTACGGAACCGCCTTTAACATCATAGATGTCATAGATGTGCACGTGGCAGGAGAAAGTTTGGGCGCGCGCTTGCCCCATTTGGGAGGACTCTGGGCATTGGTCTGAGAGTCTGAGAGTGGGTGCACTGAAGGATGTGTGGGGATTGTGCTCCTGTGTTGAGGTCTCTTGAAGAGGACCCGCGCTGGCACTTGTCGGCCAGGTTCCCAGACCTGACAGCTGATCAAGTTTTCTCATATGATAAGCCTTGGCAGGAGGAATGCCGGTGCTCGGTGTGGCGAGTGACGCCGTGGTCTAAGTGAAGTCTGCCGAGTCCGTGACTTCCATGTTTTTTCCGCCGGAGAGCAAACTAGGTCATTGTGCGTGGAGGCTGCTTACGCCCAGGCTCGCAGACCCAACAGCATTCCATCAGTGCATTGCAACCCAATTGATTTTGCTTCACAGGCTGCAACTGATTTTGCTCGACGGGCTAACAGGACTGCCCTTCCATTTTTGCGCTACAACTTTCAACTTGCTGGGTTCTTTTGGGCTTTCAGGTTGTCCCTCGCATCCACGGCCATACCGGAGGCTTGCGCAGACATCTCAGAGGAGGAGACTTGCAGGATGTTTTGTCCATTTCGGTAGAAGCACCACTGGGCAAGGAGGATGACTTTCTCGAAATGTACGACGCCGTGGGCTCTGCAGACACATATGCGCAGGCTGTCGAGTTGCATTCGTTTGAGGGTGATTTCAGCTTCTCGGCTTCGCTCATGTGTAAGTGCAAGCAGAAGCAAGCAGAAGACATGTGCATCTGGATGTACAGCATCCGGAGGCATGTCAATGTGAAGATGGGCACCGGCATGCTCTGGCCAGCGTCCGATGATGTTGGAGCTTCATGCGCATATGTTGCGGGCACAACGAACCAAGGTCCCATTGGATGAGCAGCATTGTGCGGAGCAGGACATGCAAGCTGCGCTGTCTCTGTCCGACGCAAAATCATGCAGCACCCATGCACCACTGTCAGGCACGACCATCACTCGCGCAGCTCTTTCCCGGGCCTGGCTTCTAACACTGCAACTGTGCCGTGGAGCGACTAATGTGTTGCAGGTGCATGCCCCGACTGATGCCGTTCCTCGGAGTGCCTTGGCCATTCAATCCTTGATTCACCTTCAGCATTAAACCCGAAACCCAAAACCCCAAACCCTTAACCTTAAACCCAACCCCAAACCCTCTTGGATTTGCTTGGTTTGCTCTTGGTTTCACTCGCAGTGCATGATCACTTACGTACAGATGTGTCACGGAAGGTGTCTGATTTGCCTGCTTTCCGGATTGCCTGCAGAGAAGTTTCTCCTACGCAGGCTTGACCCTTGCGCTGGGGATCTGTGCAAACTGCAGATGAGCACTGACCTGTTGGCAGGTGCTTTTGAATCAGCTTCTCGTGCGCGTGGAGCCACCTGCCCTGACTTTTTTTGAAAAACCATGGGAACGTACGAAGTGTGACCACAAATCCCTTTTCAGACGGGCTCACCGTGCTAAAGTAGATGCATGCCGGTTGTTCTGGAGAGGAGCCGTCTATCAACTTTCAACATTGATTGAGACCGCCCCTCCTCAGGAATGCTACGTTTGAGACTTTCGTCGCGATGATACTTTGGGAGGGGCACCAGATTGTGCCAGGGGACTTCCGCGCTCGTGACCGCTGTGCAGGCTGGAACTCTTTTGGGAACGCGGGTGTTTGTGTATAATCTTATGATGTTCATTTCGGGCAACAGGGAGATATCCCTTCATCCGTTCTGATTGTGCTCATGTTCCATTCTGGCTTCCATTCCTGTTTAAACATCTGTTCTGCTTTCTGCTTTTTCTTCCGTTGCTTTTCTCACTTCTGTTCTGTTTTCTGTTTCTGTTTCGCTTTCCGCTTTTCTTTCCATTGTGTTTCTCACTTCTGTTCTGCTTTCTGTTTCTGTTTTGATCTATGTTTATCTTTCCACTCGGGTTCCTTTTTGGACTCTAGCCCCATTCAGAGTGCTGTCTTGTCTTACATTTTTTGGAAGTTCACCATTCATTCATGGTTGCCGTCTCCTGCAACATCATTGCTACAACCTTCTTCCAGGGTCAACTACAGCAGTCAGTAGTTAGTGAGTGGTTCTCTATAGCAGCCCCACATTGTATTGCTGCCCCACACGCCCTCACCAGACCTGCGGACAGAGGCATGGACGCTCCAGAACAGAAAAAAAAAAACGGATGCCCCGCCGCCGCCAGATCCAGAAATGGAAACAAAATGGATCAGCCGCCCACCCCCAGAAATGGAAAAAAACCGTTTCTTTTCTGTTCTGGACCGTCCATGCCTCTGCGCAGAACCCTTTCGGACTTGTAGTGAGTGTACTGTAGTTGTATTGACGTGGGTGACGCCTGGGCCCATTTCAGCTTACATTTTCATTTGCTCTCTTCCAGGAAACCTGACCAGCCTGAGGCACCTGCTGCCATGGCCCCTGAACAAGAAAGCCGAAGTAGCTGAAGGAAAGAGCTTCACACTTCACATAGATGGCCAGGCACAGAAATTCTGAAGATTACAAATATCAGCCACTGCATGGAAATAGGAAGAGAACGCAATTTTGACCTGATGCGACAGATGGAAGTGGGAACGGAACTGAATATTGAAATGGAACTCCAAGTGCAAGCAGAAACACATGCCCAGTAGCAACCAGAACACAGAAACACATAAACACAAATGGAAGTCCAGATGGAAGCAGAAACACATGCCCAGTTGCAACCAGAACCCAGAACGGAAAAAATGGAAACAAGAATGGAAGACCTACATGTTCACTGTTCTGGAAATGAACGTCATAAGTGTAATCAGACCAAAACTGGAGGCGCGAGTCTCTTTAGCTGCGTTGTCTTGCTGCAGGCCTCCGTATCCTCATGCATCACCTTCCCCAATGGTGGCAACTAGATCCGGCACCCCTGGTGCCGCTACTACAATCCTTGCAGCACGATTGCTTTGCTGACGGAAAGGCACCAAAGGAAGTGGGCTTTGTGCGCCTTGTCGCTCTCAATTTTGCGAAGTTCATCTTCGCGATGGAAAGTGTGCCCAAATCGCTGAGACACTTCTTAGCCAAAGGTTCGCTGGCTTTCCTGAAGCACGGGGATCTCGAAGATGTTCTGTGGGCCTGTGAAGGCTTGGCGCTGTGCCGTGCCAATCTTGGCCGATTTGGCGCATCAGTCACTGAAGCTTTGTGGGAGATCACGCAGGGGAACTATGGCCCTCGACACAGAGACATGGCACAGAAAGCCTTGCACCGCGTGCAGGCCACAATGCAGCTGGATGGACCCCAGATTTTACCGCCAAACGATCACGCTGTGTTAATGAACAGATCTGAGTACACCACCATTCCAGAAGCCTACCACGCAGCCAGGGTTGTGACGCCACCCCGCGTGAGCTGGACGCCGCATTCACCATTCACCTCGACGATAAATTGCATGTTGCAGCCAGCTGCCTGGCCAACAAGTGGTGCAGCGTTGGCTTCAACAAGGACAGGCCCAAGATGGATGGCGCAGATGTCTGCACCTTCGGCCACCATCCCGGTGTGGATCTCTCGGACTGTCACAAGACCTGTGGTTGTGGCGGCACAGCCCGTGGCTATGGTTGCGGCACATCCTGTGGCTGTACAGCGCATCGCGTGGTTGCGGCCGCGGCGCATCCTCTAAGCGCAAGCTGGCTGGTGGCTTCCGCGCGCAGCCGGTGCGAAGTCCTTGGCGTGGTGGGTATTGCCTTGAATGCATGCCACATGCGACAGACGTCTCCTTGGCAACGGCGCAGCTCCGACAGCTCCGTGCTCTTCGTCCACAAGCTCCCTCGTGCCCCTGGTGAGGGCATGACTCAAAGCGCGGCTCAGCACATGTCTCACGGCACGAGCCAGATCCGCAGCGCCAGTGCTTCAATACAGATTTGGTTTGTGATGGGACATGGGACGTGAAGGAAGGACTGTGCTTGGAAACCAGCGCGCAGTACCGAAGTTGTGAGATCAGAATAGTGCCGCACGCCTCCCTGCAGTCGTTTCATGCTCTCTCGCTGACATGTGGCATGCGACGGTCTGTACATGCATAGGCATAGCATGCGCAGATGTTCTTCCGTGTCTCACAGCTGTGTGGGGTTTCCGAGCCTTCTAGGATAGTCTAGGAGGAGCAAGCTTCAGAACATGTTCAGCAAGTGGAGCTTGGCGGCGTCCCTTGGCTACATGTTTCAAAGCGATGCTGCAGGGCCCTTTAATTGCCCAGATAAACTGTTTAAGGCCATTTGCACATGTTGATGGGTTCGCTGCTCTTCCATTTGTGGGGGTGCAGTTTGTTGAAGACCGGTCTGGCAAGATCGAGTCTATCTTTACACGTCAACGTGTATTATTGTGATACGAATTTAGGGTCCTGGCTGTTTAGATGTTGAGCTTGTTTTGTTTTGTCTGATTTTGGTTTTTGTCTTATGACGGTAGACATGTGTTTGCGGGTTTCAAGCCCAGTGGTTTTGGGTAATTGTAACGGCGTACTGACTGAGGAGAGACTGCGCAGACTGCGCGGAAGGGAGCGATGAGCTACTTCGGCTAAATCACGCCTTCAACTCAACTCTGCGTGCCAACGTTGTTGATGAAATCTCAGGGCTGTGAATGATCAGCCAACGTTGTTGACAAGTTCTCCCTCTTCGTGCGGAGCCGGGTGTAAGATCATCATCTGCCGTAGCCGTATTCCCATCTTAACTTGACTGCCGACACCAAGGTCCGTCGTTGTAGCATCGACGCCAGTGCCTCACAGCGAGTGAAGCTGTGAAGCCAGTTGTTTCAAGTCCCTTGCTGTTGACGTCCCACAATGTGGTATGGAACAGGCGGAAAGAACCAGTATCTCATCATGCTGCACGCTCAGCTTCCGTCTGACTGGCGCAAAGAAATCGCGGTTAGACGGGCATCGCATGGCTCTTGTCTTGAGGAGCCTTTTACGAATCTGCCGAACAAGGTAATCGCCAAGTCCTCAGTCGTGGGGAAGTGCTGGTGCGGGCTTCCTCTGAGGTCGCCGGTTCGCTCCAGATCGCCAATGGGCAAGAATTGCTGTTGCCTCTGTTGATAAATCTGTCAGGGATAGCCTCCATGAGCATCCTGGGTTAAGGCATCCCATTCGACCCTTGTCAAGCCAGTACCCACCCAGCAGCTTGGCAACAGTGTTTTTAAAATGATGTTCAGCCAGCACGCCTGTGATTCCTGGTGGGTTTGCAGGCCTTGTCAAGCACCGTGTCATGCCTGGTGCCACAGGATCGCCCACAACAAGTGCAGCTTACGGTGATATTTGTGCTTGAGCTATGGATAATTTAGGCCTAGTGGCAATGCAAAGCAACGCGAAACACAGTCAGTACGGAAGCAGTCATAAGTGCCAGTAGCTAGTAGCAGACGACGATGAGCTCCCTGCAGTTCTGTTTGGTCGGAGTCATCACCCTTCACACTGCACTGCTTGCCTTCTCTGAGCAACTTGCTGTGGCAGGCGGCAGCAGCAGCAACAGCAGAGGCTCGTTACACGTCGACAGCAACTGTTCATTTGCGTTTGATGAGCTCTTGCGTTCTCCAGGCCTCGGCAAAGAAGACAGCGAGGCTGCGCAGGACCTGACATAGATTTGTGATGGAATCTGGAAGACCCTGCCTGGGGGGGCACCAGCAAAAGTGTCGTAGCCATTCATAGCCCACATGCTTTGGCCCAACAACTTTGTAATTGAATTGCCGATGGCATGCTCCCTGGCGATGCAGAATGTAGCAGTGTTTGCGACATGCAGCTGGATGTAGGTGTGATTTTCGCAGGACTTCCCAGGTTATGGTTCTATGAAAGTAGAGCTGATTTTCGCGTGTCTGCAAGCAACATTGAGTGACGATAATGTTGCGCTGTGTGACAGTGGGGTTCCTGTGAGGAAAATGCTCAGGGCATGAAGCTGTTGAACAGCGGACATTACGATGAGGCTGATGTGGAATGGATGCGGAATCAAAGAGAGCAGGGCTGCGCACGGCTGCTGAGGCCGTCCGGCGGTTCAAGCAAGCCTTGATGCATAAGCCGACGAGCGAGCGGCACTTAAAACCGGAAAGGAACGAGTGCAATTGGCGTCAGAATGCCTGCGTCCGGATGCAGGTTCAGATCCTGAACAACATAGGCTTGGTCTACGCAAAGTGTCAGGATTATGCTGGTGCCTACGAGTGGTGCGCGTGGGTTTTCATTGTCATCGCTTTAGAGGTGCATGCACGAACCTGGTCTGTTCCTGCTCAGGTACGAGAAGGCTCACAGACAAGATCCCAAAGATGCCAGGGCCGAAGATGGATGAAGATGGGAAGAAGGTGTTGCGGTGCACAGTCACTATCTGCCAAGGTTGAAACCTTGTTTTCCTGCGCATGGGTGGAAAGAAAGCGACAGTGCCACTGGCCCGCTTGGCCACCGATTCGGGAAGCTTCGCAACAGAACTAGCCTGCCATTCGTGTTGCCCTGCTGGCTGTGCTGTATAGCTTGCTGTGCCACCTCCAGCATTGACAGGAAGTATCAGCATGCAAGGGAGCTCTTCATGCAAGTCTTGGAGCTTGAGCCTAACCACAGCAAGGCACCGCAAACCTGTTTCGTGCTGGCCTCCATGATGACAGGGTCTGCAATGCTTGAGGCTTTGTGGCTGCTGGGTGATATCCTGAAGACTTCGAAAGATTACACAGGCTCTGCCTGCCGAGCTTCCTGCTAACATCCGTCCCTTTCAGATTGATCGTGAGAGGTGCTATTCAACATCTTGAGACACTTATGAGGACTCCTGTGGCAGGGAAGCAGGCGAATTTGTATTTCTATGTTCACCAGATGAGAGGATTCAGCCTCGTGGCCCTGACGGGCATATCTCTCTAGCTCAGTGCTATGAGTCGACCAAGCAGTGACCCATTCCAGGGTGACATGCAGTGATGCTGCTGGCCACATTGGCCTGAAGCTGACTGAAGATGTCTGAAGTTGCAGGTATCCCAAAGCTGTGCAGATTTACAAGAACATCCTCAAATCTTTATGCCCAGGCTGCATGGTCTTGGGATGTCTTGGGATTGCACCCAAAAAGTCTCAAGCCGGCCGCTGTCAACTCTCGTGCAGGTCGTGTTGATGTGCACTTTGCGTTGGGCAAGGCGCGAGCCTTTTTCCGGACAGCGAAGTGCGCATCGCCGATGAACAGAAATCTGGATTGAGGTTTATTTTCTCATGAAGCAGTGCGCCAACTTTGACCCACAATGGTCTCGTGCAGCTCACTTGCAGTGGGCCAGGTATCGCCAGGCCGTGATCGAGTTTGACCGGGTGCCGGACGGTGATTCCAGAGCTGTTGAGGACCAGGGCTGAAGCCGTGCCCAACAAGACTTGGCAGCGAATGCGCTGCGAAGGCGCGGTCTTACGGCGCCAAAGCTTGCCGAGAGCTTGAGGACACTTGTTACATTTGTGTTGCAAATCGAAGTATATCGTATATCAGTCGAAGCGCATAGGTGGCAAAAGCCAGGATCATGAGCGAGCCATCAGCCTTGCGGAGTCCGCTGCGCAATGTCATCCGCGCCCAGAAGCCCGGGGCACACAGAGCAATGAATTTGCGATTCCTGATTGCTTTTGGAAGCAAGGTGATGATGCATTTTTTCGGGGAGGAGTACGCCCGCGTTGGGGAGCCGCAGACACAGAAGGCAGACCCAGCAGATGCTGTGCTTCTGTGATTCTTGTCCCACATTGCTTACAAGCGCAGGCTGCTCAGTGCTTCACACAAGGGCTGGAGCTAGAGCCAAAAGATCTCCCTTCATTGATGGAGTCGGGGCAGCGTGCGTGAGCCCGCCTTGTTTTAGGCGGCTTACATTTGAGCTCGGACACGAGCTCGTAGCAGAGAAGCTCTTCTTGGTCAGCTATTGGTTCGATGATTATTTCTCATCTTTGCCCAATTGCCAGCTGCTTCTCAATGTTTGTTTCGCTGCGAGCTTTTCAGTTCAGTTTTTTAGATCGGAGGCAGCATGTGGAATTCCAGGTAAGAGGTGAGTCGCACACACCTCGAACGTCCAAAGATGATCAACGATGCTGGTGTTCTTGCTTTTTTGGTTACAGGTGATAATGCCAGTGGCCTAGAATTAGAGAGAAGTCTAAAAAGACGCGTCCTGATGATAAGCTCAGTGAGTCATTTCTTTGCACCCGCAACCGACCTGTCAGTTCACATTACACATACACTCATACACTGAAAGACGATCCCATCTAGCCACCCGCAGCTTCATTCTTTGTCGTCTTGCGCCTAATCACATTTTCCCATTCCTGACCACCACAACTAACAGTTGTTCTTTTTCATTTTGTTGTTTACTCAGCCTCCCTTCGCCCCCCCTTTCCATTTTACGAACCTTGACGGCTCAGAATGTTGGGATGCCAGGCTGGACAGGACAGACTTGAATGCAAATCGGTGACTCGCCTTTGTCAAAAAGTGCTTCCGGCTACGAAGCGTCTCATACACCATGCGCGAATTCCAACAATTTAGGTGCAAACTACGGAAGGATGAATCCTGCAGGCCGGAAGCCCTGGGTGTGCAGCTGGCCAGCATTTGGTCTGTTGCCACCTTTGCTTGGCTGTCACTGCAGGCTTCGAGACTCTGCACGTGGATGCCTGGTACCTGTGGACGGAGCGGGCCAAAGCATGTTGCTGCATTGCTTACGCTGCTGTAGAGAAATTCTTGTGATGGAATATGATGGAATCTTGCTGCGTGTTTATCCGCAGCAGCTGCAATATTCTGCAAGCTACAGTTTGCTGGTTGTGGTCCACTTGCGTGTGCCTAGCGTGGGTCCTTAACTGCACCCGCAGCTTCTATTCAGATTGGATGCCTGGTCTGCGAGTAAGTTGCTAGACACAGCAAGATGCAAGCTGTGCCCTTTTTCTTCTTCCAATTACCAACTCTATAAAGATTGCTTCAACTACAGCACTAGATGTTCCTGTATATTCCGCTGTTCTTGTTGACATTAGAGAACCGTAAAGATCAGAACCAGTTCATGTCATGCCTAACTTATAGCATTTGTCCGTTGCTGTTTGGATGATCCATTTCCATTCTTTGATTGATTGATACATCCGAATGGTAATGTCTACATGTCTTGATCAGTTAACATGTCCGTCTGTTACTTTAATTTTTGGTGTTAATGATTCCAGGCTCATTTTCACTCTTATGTCTCCGAACGCATCGCTGTTTCTGAATAATTTATATTGTGTGTCCAGGACTTTGAATTGACTGTTGTTCTGAAACATAAAGCCTCCGCAACTGGTGACATCCGCCTTCCCAATTCCTAACTGCTCTATTAATTGTAGTCCTGACGGTGTCGCTTTGTTGTAATGCTGTTGTTCCTGTCGTGAGGTCAGATGTTCTATCCGTTTGTATATTTCCTCTGGTGATATTGCATTTTACTTTTTGTTAGCGTCTGCTCTCCGCTATAACCAATATTATCTTGAGTTCGTGTTTAACAGTTGTTCTTTCTCTATTGTTGGATTGGGTTCCAGACCTTGAAGGCTACAACTGCCACAGCACGACTGGACTCAAAGCTAGCTCGCTTGATTTGGGCTGCTATGGTTGCTGTTGTAGAGTCTGCTTCTTAATTAAATTGACAGTTGAAACTGATTTCAAGAGAAGTAATGATGTTGAATCATTTATTAGCCTAAATTTAGTAGCGTATGTCCTCTTTGATAGATAAATTTCTGTGTTCAATATGGGTGCTTGCGTTGTCCCACTTACATACTGTTCAGAAAGCAGGGATTTCCAGGCCCTTTCATGAGGACTTGTGTTTTTTGTCGGCATGTACCTTCCCCTTCTTCTACCCTATTCCAATGCTAGATAGAGCCTGGTTAGCTTTCGTTGGCCTCGGCTTGCCCCTCAAGTTCAATGGCTGCCGTCAGTGCCGCCGACCCCAGAGCAGTGCCCTGTTTGTGGACGGTATGACTTGTGCTGGGCAGTGTGTCTTTTGGAGGGGTTGGGCATGCATTGGGATTGGGGTTGAATTAAATGGTTGAAAAACGAATAATCGTGGGTTAATCAGCAGAGTTGACAGGTGGGCCGTGAAAGATCGGAAACGGCAGGGCAGTGGGGGTTGTGGGTTTCGGTGGACGGGTCAGGCATGCATTAGGATGGAATGAAAACATTTACTTACGATTAATAAAAGCAAACCCGCTCCAGCTAATCAGCAGGGTGGACAGGGTGGGTTAATCGGGGGGGGGGGGGGGGGGGGGTACGGCAGTGCGCAGGAAATACGACTAATCCACAGGGTGGGCAGGGTAGGTTAGTCGGCAGGGTAGGCGGGGTGAAGGACCGGAGTGGGCCACAGTAAGCAGCTAGGGCCGCCTGTGGCCCAGTAGAGACGGGCATACAGGAAGCCGTCCCGTACAACACAATCGGCAGGGTGGGTGTTGGTGGATGGTATGACTTCTGGTGGACGGTGTCTGTTGGGGGAGTTGGGCATGCATTGGGGTTGAATTAAAGGTGGTGGACGGTATGACTTGTGGTGGGTGGTGTGTCTTTCGGAGGGGTTGGGCATGCATTGGGGTTGAATTAGCATAATATGACAAGGTCTCAGGTTTTGCGATGTGAATTCTGCATGGCTAACAATTCTATTCATGGTGTTAGGCGCATGGCGGCACGGCTTCAGCTGTTTGGTCCACGAAGCAAGATCGCGGGCCGGAAATTTTTGGGATTCATGTCTGAGGCCTGGGGTATGTGAATGAAAGGTGTGGGATACCGGGAAGTTCCGTGCATAGGCTTGCGGCTGCAAGGGTCTTGGGGATGCAGCTGCCGTCGTGCTAAAGGCGATTCTCCGCGCCAACGACAGCGATCATAAAAACAATTGAAAATGCAAATGCCAATGGCAACCAAACAGGGCAGCAGTCAGTTCACATCAGCTTCAACAGGAAGCTCTTGCACGAGCACGTCGAGCTCGGAGTCGGAGGCTGCAAGCACTGTGCTAAGGCGGATTGGTGGTGTGATTAGATTATCAGATTGTCATCAAATCCCGTGAGAATGGTTCACGCGCATGTCCTAGGCCGTTCTTCCACAACGAGCAGGGGCTCTCCTGATGCGATTCCAAGGACGCCAGTTCCTCATTTTCTTCACTCAGGAGCTACATCGCAGCCATTCCTTTGCTCGTAAAGTTTTGCTCAGGGCAGACATCCACGGCGACGACTTGAGTCCAGCAGCGCTTGGCTTGCTCTGCTCACAGGCAATCACGGCTTCGTGTCTGCGCACATAGGTTTGATTGCACCCGCGTAGACCCAAACAGCTCGGCCAATAAAAACCTGATAGGACCCACGAAACCGAATGCAGACATGTGTCATGCAACTTGCGAATAGAGAGACTCTCCTCTGCCCTCCTCTCCTCTCCTCTCCTCTCTCCTCTCTCCTCTCTCCTCTCTCCTCTCTCCTCTCTCCTCTCTCCTCTCTCCTCTCTCCTCTCTCGTCTCTCTCTCCTCTCTCCTCTCTCCTCTCTCCTCTCCTCTCCTCTCCTCTCTCCTCTCCTTTTTTTCCTCTCTCCTCTCTCTCCTCTCCCCCCCTATCTCCCCCGCTTCTCCTTCTCTCCTCTCTCCCATCTGCTTCCGTCTCTCTCTCCCTCTCTCCTCTCTCCTCTCTCCCCCCCTCCTTCCCTTCTCTCTCCTCATTCCTCTCCTTTTACTTCCTTTTTTTCTTCGCGCCCTCCTCTCCTACTCTCCTCTCCTCCTCTCTATCTCTCTCTCTCCTCTCTCTCCTCTCTCCTCTCTCCTCTCTCTCTCTCTCTCCTCTCTCCTCTCTCCTCTTCCTCTCTCCTCCTCCTCTCCTCTCTCCTCCCTCTCTCCTCCTCTCTCTCCTCTCCTCTCTCCTCTCCTCCTCTCTCCTCTCTCTCTCCTCTCTCCTCTCTCCTCTCTCTCTCTCCTCTCTCCCTCTCTCCTCTCTCCTCTCTCCTCTCTCCTCTCTCTCTCCCTCTCTCCTCTTCCTCCTCCCTCCTCTCCTACCGCTCCTCTCTCTCCTCCTCCTCTCTCCTCTCCTCTCTCCTCTCCTCTCCTCTCTCCTCCTCCTCTCTCCTCTCCTCTCTCCTCCTCTCTCTCTCTCTCCTCTCTCGCTCTCTCCTCTCCTCTCTCTCTCTCCTCTCTCCTCTCTCCTCTCTCTCTCTCCTCTTCCTCTCTCCTCTCTCTCTCCTCCTCCTCTCCTCCTCTCTCTCCTCTCTCTCTCTCTCTCCTCTCTCCTCTCTCTCTCTCTCTCCTCTCTCCTCTCTCCTCCTCTCCTCTCTCCTCTCTCTCCTCTCTCTCGCCTCCTCTCCCTCCTCTTCCTCCTCTCCTCTATCTCTTTCTCTCTCCTATCCTCTCGCGTCGCTCTCTCTCTCCTCTCTCCTCTCTCCTCTCTTCCTCTCTCCTCTCGTTCTTCCACTCCTCTCCGTACTCTCCTCTCGCCCTCTCGTCTCTCCTGCTCCTCCTTCCTTCCTCTCTCCTCTCCTCTCCTCCTCCCTCCTGTACTGTCCTGTTCCTGTCCTGTCCTTTTGTCCTGGTCCTCTCCTCTCTCCTCCTCTTCGTCCCGTCTTGTCCTCTGTCCCTCTCGTCCTCTCTCATCCTCTCTATCCTATCTCTCATCCTCTCCTCTCATCCCTCTCCTCTCGTCTCTCTCGCGTCCCTCTCCTCTCGTCCTCTCGTCTCTCCTCCTCTGCTCTCTCGTCTCCTGTCTCCTCTCCGCGCCTATCCTCTCCTCTCGTCCTCTCTGTCTCTTCCTCCTGTGCTCTCTCGTCTCCTGGTCCTCTCGCCGCGCCCTATCCTCTCCTTTTGCCCTCCTCCTCCTCTCCTCTCCTCTCCTCTCCTCTCTCCTCCCCCTCCCCTCACTCCCTCCCCTCCCTCTTCTCCCCTCCTCTCCCCTCTCCTCTCTCCCTCCTCTCCTCCTCTCCCCCTCTCTCCTCTCTTGTCCGCAAGTTCGTATTGTTCTCTCGTCCTCTCCTCTCGTCTCTCCTTTCGTCCTCTCCTCTCGTCTCTCCTTTCGTCCTCTCCTCGGTCCGCTTCTATCGTCCTCTCCTCTCGTCCTGTCCTCTCGTCCCTCTCGTCTCCTCCTCCTCTGCTCTCGTCTCATATCTAGCTCCTCTTCTCTCCTCTCGCCTCTTTACTCTGTCGCTCCTCGTCTCTCTCCTCTCTTCTCCTCTCGTCCTCTGTACTCTCCATTCCTCTCCTCCGCTATCTCATCCTCTCGTCTCTCGTCCTCCCCTCTCTCGTCCTCGGTGTCTCGTTCTCTCCTCTAGTCTTTCCTTTCGTCAATCTCCCTCTCCCTCGCCTCTCCGTGCTTCTCTCGTCTCTCGAGTCTCTTTCTCGTCCTCTCTCTCTCGTCCATCCTGGTCTTCATCCTCTCGTACTCTCCTCTCCGTCTCCTCTCGTCCTCCCCTCGCGTCTTCTACCTTCGAGTCGTACCCTCTCTCCACTTCCGCTCCTGGTCTTCTTCAGCTCAAAAAGGTCCTCTCTCTCTCTCACCCATGATTTCGCGTTCTGCGGAAATTCTACCCACCCCTGCCACGATTTCGCGACGTTCCTCAGCCTCCAAAAGGCCCGATTCGTCCGTGCCACGAATTTCCCGCATCTCGGCCAACGCCGACCTCCTAGTCCGCCCCTGCCACGATTTCGCATCTCGACGACACCGACGAAAATTCTAAATCCCTTAGACTGCCGGGATGCGATGCCGAAAACTCAAAATCCCTTAGACTGCCGCGATTAGACACGTTCTTTTCGAAAGCCTTCTAGTCTGTCCCGTCCACAGTTTCCGAGTTTGGACCAGCCTGAAAACTGTGAATCCCCGTAGACTGCCGCGTTTCAAAAGCATACAAATGCCGAATAGTGTGGCCCTGCCACGATTTTCAAAGCATTTCAGCCACTCCAGAGCCAAAATGCGAGCGGGAGGGTGTGGCGTGGAGCGCGATTTCCGACCAAAACAGCACGGGACTGTGGCGATGGAGCGCGATTTCGCGAATGGACAGGGCCCCAAAGCCTTGTAATTTACAAGAATTCCGCGCCGCGACACGACCCTCGAGACCAAACGCGAACGCCACTGTGACCGAGAGCGTCACCCCTCTTTCTCATTTTAGTCCGAATCGAGCACGGGACCGCAGCGGGAGCGTACGGTTCGACGTGCAGCGTGGACTCCGACACTCCAGAGGGCGCTCCGCGAACGCTTGCGAACGCTTGCGGACACAGACGCAACGAGTTTGGCCTACCCGACCCCTGGACCCAAGTTTAAACGAGAACCCTTCTGGGAGCATTTCGGGAAAACGGCCCATACACCACCATTGTTCCGGCGGGAAACCGAGTTGATTGAGTCAGCCAGGACAACGTTCATTGACAATTGCGTACGGGTTTTATGTATTGAGTAAGCCGTAATGTCAAAAGACCATTGTGTGGTTAGGAATTTCGTATTTGTCACTTCGCAAGGATACCGAAGCAACTTCGTATTCAATAGACCTTTCATTCCGGAGGGCCTTAGACTCGCAACCAGAACAAAGTCAGCACCTAAAGCCAGTCTCTTTTGTTTGAAGGCCTAGTAATATGACCCAAGCTTGCAACTCGAGATGAAACAACAATAACGGAATATCCTTGGCACCCACCCGCAAATGAAGAGTTCAGCCGGGCCTTCGCAGCCTTTCGTGGATATTTGCGAAGATTATTTTAAGGGGCTGCGCCCATGGGCGGGCAGCGCAGCAGAAACGCGGGGGAGGCACAGATCCAAACCCCTTGAAGTTTATAAGCATTTTGAGGCCCCTAAACTCCCTTAAAATCTTTAAGCGTTTGAGGCTCCCGAACTCCCTTAAAGTTTCTACGCATTTTCAGGCCCCTAAACTCCCTTCAAATCTCTAAGCGTTTGAATCTCCTAGACTCCCTTAAAGTTTCTAAGCGCTTTATAAGGCCCCGAAACTCCCTTTTCTTAGCCCCGGGCTTAGACACGTCGCTTATGCCCCAATTCGTAAGCCAGATTTCACCGGGAGCGGCCTTCTTGGGCCAAATTTGAAAATTCGAACTCGGAGTAGGAGCCCTTCTTGGGCTGAGTTTGAAATCCGGTTTTAGCCGGGAGGACGCTGGGCCAAGACATGGAAGAGCAGCCACAGCTCCAGAAACTAGCGTAGTTGCTTGTATCAGTTCGAATGTGGTTTGCTTTTGGAATGTAGGTATGATATTATATGATTAGAATTAGAATATGAATGTTGTTTATTTACGATTCCAAGCAATCTGGACACACCCGAGAATACGAACGAACACGGGCGCGAATGCATTTTGAATACGCTGTGGAATATGAAAAATAACAAACAATGTTGTTTCGATTCAATTCCAATACGAAAACAATGTGATCCGGGATACGTCGCGAATACGAACAGAATCTAAGACATTTGTGGCCAGGGACAAGGCAGCCAGCGAGAGAGCCCCTTGCTGACAGTGTCATTAGAAGCATGCTGGACGAGGAGGATGAAGCACGTCAAAGCCTAGAATTTAACAAGCTTTTTGTTCAAACCTTCCATTTTCACCATGTCAGAAGCCAAACCCAGCCTGTGATGCCAAATCATGGCAGAAATCGCCGTTTGGAAGGTTGGCTTACGATCATCCATGACAACAATCACGACAGTTGCCCATTTAGTGATTCCACAAATCGGCAAATCAGCATCTCGCTCTGTGTTGCCTTGAATTTGGCACTTTGTGAAATATTTTAGTTTGCAAAAAATCAAGGGAAGTCGCCTTTTGGAGGATCCAAAAGGCCGAAGCGATTTCGAAAACTACGTATATGGCATTATGGTTGTTTGCGAAACCAACAGACACCTACAACTGCCAAGCATCACCAACCATAGCTATGTGGAGGCTCCAAACGTCCAAATTGTATTTTAGCTCGAATCGAAGTCCGACAGTGGAGAGGTACAATGTAGGTGTCAGTGTTAAAGCAGAATTCCAGCTTGCAAACATTGATTGTAAGGGGAAAGCTATCAAGCAGCTGCCATTTTTCGGCTGTTCGATCTAAATTTCATCCGGGGGTGTAATCGCAAAGCCAGCTTCGCTGGCGCATCTTGACATGGCTCCACACAGGAAGTTCTATGTTTTGTCTGTTTTGTTCCGATACAGGTCGGAGGTGTCGGATAAGGGTTCGGCTTCCTCCTGAAATTATATTCCTAACATACCTCAAAACGCGTGCACGCATGTATTCTTATTGTAACGGTTTAAGTTTAGACCAGTGTGCGCAAAATGCATAAACACGAGGCCTAGGCCAAGGAAGGGAAACAAGGTTGTTTCGCGTGCTTTTGGGGCAGTTGGGCATAGTTCGGCATGGTTTAGCACTCCCGCTTAGTTCATGTCCATGCTATACCCGCGCAGAGGAAGAGGATCTGGAGCCAGGGGCCATCCTTTATTAAACCCACGATAGTGGTGACGATGATGATGCGACGGTGATGGTGATGGCCCTCGCGCGCAGGATGGGACTCGTATTTCGCTCTGGGCGCTTTGTGGCGTGCCCATCCACACCAGCATCGGCTCAGGCCCCGGACGCTGGCCAGCAGAGCTCTCATGCAGAAGGGCCCCTTGCAGTGCACTGCTCCAATTCAATTGCTGCCAACCAGCCTCGAAGCCGAGCATCGACTGTTGACAAAGTGCTAACATTTTGCTACCGATATTTATACATGTATCTCTCGTTTTAGGCTTTTTGATGAAAGTATCAACCCTGCAGGGTCCTTACTGACCCCATTCTATCGGAGCTCTAGGCTCCTTCAAGGGAAGCTTTGAGCCCAAGGTCCTTGGACTGTAGAAGAAGGAATGTTGATTTTCAGTGATGGCCCAGCCCGCAGCTGGAGAGTTTCAGCTAGCAACGCCTCAGATGCAGACGCTGAACCAAAAGAGTTGTTGATCTAACCCAGGATTTCAGATCAGCAGGCAAAGAGAGTCGGTTCTTGAGAGCAGAAATGGGCAGAAGGCCAGGCCCGAATGATTGAAGAGCTGGTCAGGAGCAGGAGTAAGGAACTGACCAATCGGTAATAACTGATGACAGAGGTGTGGCTAAGCCTGATGGATTCAAGGGAGATGGCGGGAATTACCTCCAATGGAAGAGGAAGAGTGAGCTTCATTTATTCGGTTTTCAAGAAACATAGAGGAAGCCCATGTGAAGAGCAGGAGGAACAGAAGAACCACATCAAAAATCGTCAATTTCCCGTCAGTTGGGCTCCTGTCAATATGTTTGCGCTCCTTCGCAGCATCTACCCCGTTTGCCAGCTGGTTTTGTTTGCCAGCCATTGTCCGTTCGTCTTGGTTCGTCGAACATTGTTGATTTCTTTTGTGCTGGAGGAGCATTTGATTACCATTATGGGACACAAGACATCATGACACGCCGCCGTGGGCGACACGAGGCGGATACTGCACATGCCATCCGCATCGAACTTTCACTTCCAATTTTTGATGTTCCGTGTTCATGTGAAGGTGTTCTCATTAATTTACGAGTTCCAGATCCCAGGGGAGTCCGAGCCTTTGTGGTCTTGACGCATCGCTCTTATTGCACCACAATGTCGCTAGCATGCGCAATTGCAGGCTGCCGCCAGAACTGCGAAATGGAGCAGGACCCTGGGAGTGTTAAGATTTCGACCCCAAGCGTTTGTGGCACCTTGACATGTTGGATGTCAACGATAGTTTGAAATGCAAGGCCCATTCATCTGACACGACATGAGAGGTCAAGCTTAGATGGAATGGGCCATCGGTTTGCTGGGGGCGCCAAAAGAAAGAAATCCTTTTTCGTCATATGCAGACGATTGATCATGTGGCGATGGATCTCGGTTCACAGGCTTCAAACGGGCTGAGTCGGCGCTTCAACCGAATAGCCGATGTTTTGCCGGCACCTTTGAATGGTATTGTCGTGCATTGTTGAATTCAAGCCATTCTGATCGAATCTATGTGCTGTATAATTACGCGCGGCTTCCAGATTCAAACGGACAGTTCACCAGATGGGATTTTCCACTGTTGGCGGCACGTTGTGCAAAGGCATACACCATGGCTACTGGACAAGCCAATTTTGCGTTCAGGGAGAGCCCGTACGGAGTCCAACATTGCAGCATTAAATTATCAGTTGTTCATGTCTTGCTCATGGCCCGACGTCTGCACGCGAAGTTCTGTTGGCTTGAGTTTGTTTAGACCCGCGATGCACATGATGTGTTGCGCAGTGTTGTTTGTATAATAATTATCAGAGAAGCACCACCTGCAAAATTTTTGGGGAATTCACCCCGTGTGCATGCCGTTAAATGCCAGGAACCACCATCAATGAACGACGAAACACCTTACCAAGAAAGCATGTTAATGGGGTCCGATGATTGGAAAACGTCCTGAAACAATGAATTGATGACACGCGGGAACAAATTAGCAGCGTAGGCCCTGACCTTAAAGCTTTCAACCCGACAGTGTCCGTTCCCCGAATCAGGAGTTCGGATTTGACCGCTACAGCTTGGTCTATCAGAACTGCCACCGTTTCACACTAGCGGCCGCCCGAAGGCATGGCCAGAGCAGGGAACATGTTACTTCAGTTTTACTGCCCGTATTCGGATTGATTCGCCAGATACCGCCTGGACCTGCCGGTGCTGCTGCATGCAGCATTAATGCTGTGCAGCAGGCGGCGGACCCTCGGTTTGCTTGATAAGTTCGGTCTCATGCGACATGGAGCTTGATTGGTTTCTTTTTCGGTCACGAAGTGCAAATGCACAAAGCAACTTCGAAATTTTCCTTCGTGCACCCAGCATTGGGATTCTACATGACATTCTTTGCCATCGCACCATGAACATCACAAGCAGTGTGCACTTGCACGCCCCCGCAACATCAACGCAAGAGCCATTTTAGGGTGATGCGCAGCCTGGTACCCAAACTGGTTTATGCGCAATGTGGCAACAGGGACCTATCACGCAACTGTTTCGAATTAGCGCCAGGCCACTTTGGTGTCTCTTACTGGTCTTGATCATGCTGGTTTCCATCCTGATCTGGAGCGCAGCTCGGCGCACTGGCTAGGTTTTTGCTGTGATTGCAGATTCGGGCAACCATTGTGGGAAGGTCTGTCTGTGGCATCGTGTGTTGGTTTAACTGAGTCGTGGGACAAAGCTTTGTGCGATCGATCTTGGTCGTGTTGCACTGTCGTTGTTTTGTTTCTCAAAGTGTTGTCTTTGTATTCGATGTTGCTCTGGCAATAGCTCGAAGGCGGCTTGCCGCCGCGGCAAGTGTTGTGCTCCAGAGTGTTTCAAAGCGCGTCAGTGGATTTTCTGGAGTTGGGAGGGGGAGCTTTTTGCTGAAACCTGTCATGGCCACACCCAGCCTGTCTCGTCCGGATTACAACATTTTGTCAGCTTAATTTTTTTGGCCAAAATCACATGTTCCGGCACACCGATTGTCAGTCTTGCTGCAGCTGCTGCTGCTGCTGCTGCTGCTGCTGCTGCTGCTGCTGCTGCTGCTGCTGCTGCTGCTGCTGCTGCTGCTGCTGCTGCTGCTGCTGCTGCTGCTGCTGCTGCTGCTGCAAGCCTTCTTTGCGTCTTCATGCGCCGATAACGGCACCAAGGCGACCTCGAGACCTGAGCTTTGAATTCGATGAGGGGCTGCAGAAGCCCAGAAGCCCAGAGCCCAAAAGCAACCGAGCGGTCAGGCTTTGCCCAGTTTGGGCCGAGGGCTCCTTTCATGCCGAGCCGAGGTGTTCGGGGCCCGAGCTCCGGACGTTCATCTCGGTTCCGTGCCATGCAGAGGACTGCAGGTGGCGTGCTTCAATTACAGGCCGCAATTGCATTGATGCCTTTATTGCAGGCAGATCGTGCCGTCCCTCCTCAGCTTCGTGAGGAGATGCGACGGAACCAGCCCCAGCACAGCACAGTCATCAGTGATGCGCAGCAACCCCTAATCAGAGAGTGATGAGGCTTGCAGCGCTGCTATGCTATCGTACAGGTGCATGTGGAGCAGACGAACTGTTCAGTAATTGGTTTTCCTTGCTGTTTCAATGTATAGTGCCACAGTCGAGAGTGGCTGCAATTACTGGCCTGATAGAATGACCTTGTGAATCAGGGTCTCACGCCAATGTAGTGTCAGAGTAATTTGTGACGTCGTAGAGGGATCTCGCAACATGTCCTTAACTCTATGGTGCGATGAACCACTTCCTCGAGTGGTACAACAATGTCCCAGAGTTTCAGTGTCGAGGAGGGCCAACGACAGCGTCCCAGATGCCTCCGGGCTTGTTTCGCGCATGAACGCTCACCACAGTTGCAAAGGGCAAGAAGTCAAGGGAGCCCACCGATCCAACTACAGTGAGAAGCATGTCACTGGACGCATGCTTGTACGATTGTAGCACAAAATTCCGCGTCAAAAAATCAGCCAGCCTCGAACGCCAACGGGCCATGTGTGAGGACAGATGTTGGGCCTGTGTAGCAACAGTCCCTTGCATCAGCTCTGCACTGTCAGAACTTAGGGTTTACGTTTTGGTTTGGCAGGATGGGGTATGCGTATGCGTAGGACATTTTCATTAGAATGTGCTGATCGGCCACGAAGACAGTGTCACTCAGTTCAGTGTCCATTGCCCAAATCTGTCTTTACGATGCCTGTTGAAAAGGAGTTTTGCGCGCGTTCTCCGGCGCATCTATGCGATAGAGGTTAAGCCATTCCCTTGTTGGGGATTAGGGAGAGGCCGGGATCGGGGAGAGACTAACAGAATACAATACAGCATAATTTAAGTCATTGTAATGCAACAATGCAATGTAGCATGAGAGGGGATGTGCTCTTTCTTTTTTGCGTCAGAGTCGCAAACGCGCAGCGAAAGGCGTTTCGAGTCTCCCTGGCCAGAAACCTTTCGTCACCATGCTAGAAATCGCCTCGTAGGACTACTCTGTCATCCTTCCTTGTGACTTACTCTACGGACCCCAACTCGGAGCCGATCTTATGGACGTTTCATTCCAGTCCGACATGGACAGGGTTCTTGGCAAGAGTAAGGCAGGGAGGAGAGGTGGAAGTGGAAGGAAGCCGCCCAGGTGCAAAGGCGAAAAACAACAAACGCATGGATTCAGCGTTTTTTCGCAGTGGGTCATAGAATCTAGGCACAGCCCCTTGACCGTAGACAACTACTTGCTCACACCGTGACCGAATTTGAGTTCAAAGCCGTTGTTATGCATCGTAACTGCTTCCGCATGCCAGCGCTCTGCTTGGTTGCTTTGCTCTTGCTGAGGTGTGGAGTCCTGATTGTCGGATGACGAATTCATTTGCCATGCGGCGTGTGCATCTTTTGGCAACGGCATGTGGTCCAGGCTGTTAGGCTCCCAGGCTTTTAAGACACAAGAGCCCGCCGCTATGGTGCATGGACCTTCGGTTCAATTCTATTGCAATTCGCAGCCTTGTCTTCGTGGTCACTGCCCTCGTGCAGCGTTTTGAATGCCGCTGCCTTTTGATCTGTTGTGCCATAGCGACATTTTTGAAGCGTGCTTGGCCTGGTTTCACTGGCGCTGCATGGCGAAGAGGATGGTGTTGTGAACTTGCTTTTATCCTGAAGGCGCCAGAGTTTGCCTGCACGCTTTAAGTTATCTTGTGGCACACATTGGGCTGTAGGAGTGTGCTTCGGCTCGGGACGCCAAGGCACCACGCGACAAGCAACCAGCATGAAAAAGTCATGTGCCAAGAGTGTGCAGAGTCAACCAGTTGTTTCTGAGCATTGTTTGATTGCTTTTGCTGGCATGCTCCAAGACGCTCCTAGTGCCGGTTTTGGCTCTTCGAACTTGCGTTGTGCTTCAATTGCATGGCATTAAAGCCCTGCCCCGCAAGTAAGGGATGAGCGCAATACCGTCCTTGCAGACATCGACCAGCCCTGGAGAAACAGCCATGGGTTGCCGGAATGTACCGTCAGGCGCGGACTCATTTGGTCAACCGCTGATGTCGCCAGGCGGTGTAAGAAGCATAGTAGAACGCCCGGACAGGCCAGACAGGGTTGGACTGTGACGGGCCCAAGGCGACGCGTGCCAAGGTATAATATTGCTTTGCAGAAAAAAACTTCCAGAGCATCTGCTAAGTGAGTGATATGCTGTCAGGGCTTTGATGGCCTGTGTCCAAGAGGGGAAGTGACGAGCCAAAGACCTTGACGCAGCGCCGTTCGTGCTTTTAGGCTCGTTCTGGGTGTTGCACGCTGCTGCGCCAAACATTGGTCGGGGCCTGGAGTTCAAAATGTGCACACAGTGATTGGCTACATGGATCTGTAGCCGAGCTAAGCTTGCGTCATGTATCATAACATTTGGTCATCAAAGACGGCAAGAACTGTATCGGAATTGCAATAACCACAGCTAGCTCCATGGAATCATGACCTCGGCATTTTCGGGCTGGGGCTTTGGTTCGCCGGTCAAAACTCTCAGTAAGAAACCGCAAGGATGCCAGCACCACCAAGAAGCCCAAAGACAGCCTTGTGCATTGGCATTGCCTGCTCTCAGATCATGACACTTAGTAAGTGGCAACGCGCCGTCCCACTGCTGAGAAGCTTGGACGCTTTGCCCCAGCTTAGTTCATGCCTCAGAGCCTGAGGCCTGAGGGTGCTTCTCATCCAAGTGGTTGATGACTGAGAGCATATATCAGTTACAGCTATAATATCAATATCGGAGATTCCTTGCCCAGCTCATCAATTTGAGGTTGGTGCAATCCAATCTGCCTGGAAATGATGCTGCAGGCGGCAGTATTGGAGGTGGGCTGCTTGGATTAGCAGCACGGCATGCCGAGATTGTATAAGGTTGCCCGGATCTTTTTCGTCAGTTGCTGCACCATACGTGACATGCCTCACACGCCTTGTTGACCTTGCACATGTGGCGCCTACGGTGCGACCAGAAGGTGCGAGGAACATGTTTTTGCTTTGTCGTCAACTGTGTTATTTCCTTAACAGTAAGGTTTGGGGTTCTCTCCTCAGAAAAAAGGTGGCCGTGTTAGCGGCGGCCGGCCGGGCTCCCCTTTTTGGCTCCCTTCATAACTCCCTCATAGGTTCTGGGTCGGACGAGTGGGCCGTGGCTGCCAGCCTTCTTGGCTCCTTTCGTGGCTCCCCTCACCAATGCCATGGAAAGCTTGCGTGCGACACAAGACAAACCCGGTCAACATATCCCACAACTCCTTATTACGGTCAGCATCGACAGAGAGGCCTCGGCAGTCCCACAGGGGATGTTCCAATGTGTTCAAACTCTGCTGCAAGTCCGGGTGTTAGGGGATGTGGGAGTGGAGCCTGCACGCGTCGGCCAACAGAAGCGTGGTTTCTGGGTCGAGAGCTGGTACCTGCATTGGAGAGCTGTTGGTGAAGGTATGGTGACGACGCTGCCAAGCGCGTTGTTTAAAGATGCGTCGAGGAACTCAAGTTCACCAGGTGTGGGGGCTTCACTCTAATGCTGTTTCTGCTTTTCGGAAAAAACAACGGGTCCCTCTTCGTTTCCTGCAGTTGTAGCCATTGGCATGGGGGGACTGGATCTGTGGCTGGAAAGTCGTGGACCTGCGGCAAAGGAAAGTGCGGCGAGAAGCTGCCTAATTCGTGTTTAATCCGGGCATCAGAATAGTTTGGGCGGGTACACCCCCTCCAGAACTCAGAACAAAAAACATCACAGAACCAGACTAGTAGCCGTCCCGCATCAGCATCAGTCAGTGTGATGCTGCATCACTCTGCACGTTTGTTGGTCCAGACTGGGATAGATCTATATCAAATGATATGATTCCGCATGTGATTTTGGATTCTCCCGGGAATTTATTTCTTTTAATCTGATCCCTTTTTCGGGATGAGCTGCTCGAGAATCGCTCGCGCCTTTAACGTAGTCTTGGAGGGATGACCAGCGGGGAAACACACATTATGAATCAAGTCCCTAATCTGATCCTTGGATTATGCAGTGCTTCGGTGCTGAAGGTGTGTCTGACAATATTATATTACCGGATTCCTGCAAAGCGTGCTATTTCGGGCTGAACATCTCAATTTACTTAAACCACCCTCTTTTCGGCTCTTGTGAGGAAAGCCAAACACCCGAAAGGTCTGTGCCCATTCCATTTGCTTATGGCACCGCCCAACCACACCCCTGCAAGACGCACCTTTACAGCCCAAATTCGCAGGCCTGCTTTTATTTTTGCCCCCATAGTAGGACTGTAAGGTCCCAGGTCTGCTTGCTCTGCGAAAAGGTTCTATGGCCCGGGCAGGCCTGTTTCTGTTTTTCCTAGCAGGGCTGTAAGGTCCCACATCTGCTTGCTATGCGAAAAGGTTCTATGACCCGAATCTGGGTTTCAAGTTATCCCCTATACTAGGGCAGGCCTGTTTTTGCTTTTCCTCATAGTAGGGCTGTTTAGGGCACAAAGAGGGTGTTGTGAGGAAGCAAGATTTTTCATGCGAAATGCAGGGTTTTTGGCTTCGAAACAACAGCCAATAGGTTCCTTTGTCGCTCCTTGCCCATTCCATTTGCTTATGGCACCGCCCAGAAACCCAGATTCCGGCCATAGAACCTTTTCGCAGAGCAAGCAGATGTGGGACCTTCCAGCCCTGCTATGGGGAAAAACAGAAACAGGCCTCCTTTCTCGCTCCTTGCCCATTCCATTTGCTTATGGCGCCGCCCAACCACACCCCTCCTTTGTCGCTCCTTGCCATTGAGGCCTTCCGACATCTTGGGCTCATCTTGGGGGGTGGGGCAAACAAGTCCACAGGCCTTTCGGTCATTTCGGGGGGCGGGGCAAACAAGTCCAAACAGCCCTACTATGGGGAGGACTTGTTTGCCCCACCCCCCAAGATGGGCCCAAGAAGTGGCCGAAAGGGCTGGACTTGTTTGCCCCACCCCCCAAGAAGGGCCCAAGAAGTGGCCGAAAGGCCTGGACTTGTTTGCCCCGCCCCCCGAACTGACCGACAGGCCTGTGGACTTGTTTGCCCCGCCCCCCAAGATGAGCCCAAGAAGTGGCCGGAAGGCCTGGACTTGTTTGCCCCACCCCCCAAAAAGGGCCCAAGAAGTGGCCGAAAGGCCTGGACTTGTTTGCCCCCCCCCCCGAAGTGGCCTTGTTTGCCCTCCCCCCCAAAAGAGGCCCAAGAAGTGGCCGAAAGGCCGAAAGGCCTGGACTTGATTGCCCCGCCCCCAAGATAGGCCCAAAAAGTGGCGAAAAGGCCTGGACTTGTTTTCCCCGCCCCCCAAGATGGGCCTAAGAAGTGGCCGGAAAGGCCTGGACTTGTTTGCCCCGCCCCCCCCAATATAACCCAAAAAGTGGCCGAAAGGCCTGGACTTGTTTGCCCCGCCCCTTAAGGTGGGCCCAAGAAGTGGCCGAGGCCTTTCGGCCACTTCTTGGGCCCATCTTGGGGGTGGTGCAAACAAGTCCTCCCTATAGTAGGGCTGTTTGGACTTGTTTGCCCCGCCCCCCCCAAGTGGCCGAAAGGCCTCCCATTTGCTTATGACACCGCCCAACCACACCCCTGCAAGACGCACCTTTAACAAGTCCAGGCCTTTCGGCCACTTCTTGGGCCTACCTTGGGGGGCGGGGCAAACAAGTCCAGGCCTTTTGGCCACTTTTTGGGTTTTCTTGGGGGGCGGGGCAAGGCCTTTCGGCCACTTCTTGGGCCCATCTTGGCGAACAAGTCCAGGCCTTTCGGCCACTTCTTGGGCCTATCTTGGGGAGCGGGGCAAACAAGTCCAGATTCGGGTCATAGAACCTTTTCGCATAGCAAGCAGATGTGGGACCTTACAGCCCTGCTATGGGGAAAAACAGAAACAGGCCTGCCCGGGCCATAAAACCTTTTCGCAGAGCAAGCAGACCTGGGACCTTGCAGTCCTACTATGGGGGTAAAAATACAAGCAGGGCTGTAAAGGTGCGTCTTGCAGGGGTGTGGTTGGGCGGTGCCATAAGCAAATGGAATGGGCACAGGCCTTTCGGCCGCTTCTTGGGTCCATCTTGGACAAGTCCAGGCCTTTCGGCCACTTCTTGGGCCCACCTTAAGGGGCGGTGCAAACCAGGCCTTTCCGGCCACTTCTTAGGCCCATCTTGGGGGGCGGGGAAACAAGTCCAGGCCTTTCCGCCCACTTTTTGGGCCTATCTTGGGGCGGGGCAATCAAGTCCAGGCCTTTCGGCCACTTCTTGGGTCCATGTTGGGGGGCGGGGCAAAGAAGTCCAGGCCTTTCGGCCACTTCTTGGGCCTTTTTTGGGGGGAGGGCAAACAAGGCCACTTCGGGGGGGGCAAACAAGTCCAGGCCTTTCGGCCACTTCTTGGGCCCTTTTTGGGGGGTGGGGCAAACAAGTCCAGGCCTTCCGGCCACTTCTTGGGCTCATCTTGGGGGGCGGGGCAAACAAGTCCACAGGCCTGTCGGTCAGTTCGGGGGGCGGGGCAAACAAGTCCAGGCCTTTCGGCCACTTCTTGGGCCCTTCTTGGGGGGTGGGGCAAACAAGTCCAGCCCTTTCGGCCACTTCTTGGGCCCATCTTGGGGGGTGGGGCAAACAAGTCCTCCCCATAGTAGGGCTGTTTGGACTTGTTTGCCCCGCCCCCCGAAATGACCGAAAGGCCTGTGGACTTGTTTGCCCCACCCCCCAAGATGAGCCCAAGAAGTCGGAAGGCCTCAATGGCAAGGAGCGACAAAATAAGCAAATGGAATGGGCAAGGAGCGAGAAAGGAGGCCTGTTTCTGTTTTTCACCATAGCATGGCTGTAAGGTCCCACATCTGCTTGCTCTGCGAAAAGGTTCTATGGCCGGAATCTGGGTTTCTGGGCGGTGCCATAAGCAAATGGAATGGGCAAGGAGCGACAAAGGAACCTGTTGGCTGTTGTTTCGAAGCCAAAAACCCTGCATTTCGCATGAAAAATCCTGCTTCCTCACAACACCCTCTTTGTGCCCTAAACAGCCCTACTATGAGGAAAAGCAAAAACAGGCCTGCCCTAGTATGGGGATAACTTGAAACCCAGATTCGGGTCATAGAGCCTTTTCGCATAGCAAGCAGATGTGGGACCTTACAGCCCTGCTATGGGGTAAAACAGAAACAGGCCTGCCCGGGCCATAGAACCTTTTCGCAGAGCAAGCAGACCTGGGACCTTGCAGTCCTACAATGGGGGCAAAAATACAAGCAGGCCTGCGAATTTGGGCTGTAAAGGTGCGTCTTGCAGGGGTGTGGTTGGGCGGTGCCATAAGCAAATGGAATGGGCACAGACCTTTCGGCCACTTCTTGGGTCCATCTTGGACAAGTCCAGGCCGTTTTGGGGGGCAGGGCAAACAAGTCCAGGCCTTTCGGCCACTTCTTGGGCCCACCTTGGGGGCGGGGCAAGGCCTTTCGGCCACTTCTTGGGCCCATCTTTGGGGGGCGGGGCGAACAAGTCCAGGCCTTTCGGCCACTTTTTGGGCCTATCTTGGGGAGCGGGGCAAACAAGTCCAGATTCGGGTCATAGAACCTTTTCGCATAGCAAGCAGATGTGGGACCTTACAGCCAAACAGGCCTGCCCGGGCCATAGAACCTTTTCGCAGAGCAAGCAGACCTGGGACCTTACAGTCGGTAAAAATACAAGCAGGCCTGTTAATTTGGGCTGTAAAGGTGCGTCTTGCAGGGGTGTGGTTGGGCGGTGCCATAAGCAAATGGAATGGGCACAGGCCTTTCGGCCACTTCTTGGGTCCATCTTGGACAAGTCCAGGCCTTTCGGCCACTTCTTAGGCCCATCTTGGGGGGTGGGGAAAACAAGTCCAGGCCTTTCGGCCACTTTTTGGGCCTATCTTGGGGGGCGGGGCAATCAAGTCCAGGCCTTTCGGCCACTTCTTGGGTCCATGTTGGGGGGCGGGGCAAAGAAGTCCAGGCCTTTCGGCCACTTCTTGGGCCTTTTTTGGGGGGAGGGCAAACAAGGCCACTTCGGGGGGGGCAAACAAGTCCAGGCCTTTCGGCCACTTCTTGGGCCCTTTTTGGGAGTGGGGCAAACAAGTCCAGTTCTTCCGGCCACTTCTTGGGGGGCGGGGCAAACAAGTCCACAGGCCTGTCGGCCACTTCGGGGGGCGGGGCAAACAAGTCCAGGCCTTTCGGCCACTTCTTGGGCCCTTCTTGGGGGGTGGGGCAAACAAGTCCAGCCCTTTCGGCCACTTCTTGGGCCCATCTTGGGGGGTGGGGCAAACAAGTCCCATAGTAGGGCTGTTTGGACTTGTTTGCCCCGAGGCCTGTGGACTTGTTTGCCCCACCCCCCAAGATGAGCCCAAGAAGTCGGAAGGCCTCAATGGCAACGACAAAGGAGGGGTGTGGTTGGGCGGTGCCATAAGCAAATGGAATGGGCAAGGAGCGAGAAAAGAGGCCTGTTTCTGTTTTTCCCCATAGCAGGGCTGTAAGGTCCCACATCTGCTTGCTCTGCGAAAAGGTTCTATGGCCGGAATCTGGGTTTCTGGGCGGTGCCATAAGCAAATGGAATGGGCAAGG